TGCATAGACATATTGCAATTAAAATAGAATTTCTTACAAACCCAGGATTTGGTGGCAATGCTGGCTCTCCTAATTTGTTTTTGCTTTTCACTGGTTGATTTTTTTCTTAAGAGTCACGATCTTTCAAAATCAGAAATGTCCTTTTTTTTTTTCTGAATATGGCAGGACCCTAGTGGCCACAACAAACAGAGTTTCAAGGCCAAATCCCTTTCAACCATGCCACAGCTTCTGAACTTTGTCCGATTTTTCAAAGCACCGAAGCTTTGGTATCTCATTCACAAACGAGGGTTAGAGGCTTTAACAGAGAAACACCATGATTTTTTGTAATGTGCAAAGTGAGGAAGTGCAACTCATGACCCTCCAGATGTTTTGACATACAACACACATCATTCCAAACCATTGTCTAAGCTGGCTATAGCTGATGGGAGCTGTTCACCAAAGCTGTCCAAACCTGATGCAAATGGAACAGGCTAGTACAGTGTTTCCCCAACTGCCAACAGTTTGGGTATGATTATAGGCATTGTCCTGCAACAGAAGAAATGTCCAATTAATATTTCCTCCAGACATCCCTCCCTCCCCTTTGCCTAACCTGTCACGGGTAGGATTTCTTGCCTGGGGCTTCCCAGTGACTGTCAGCAATGGCAGGGGTAGTATCATCCCATCCCATCCCCACTCTCAAGATTAACTCGACCCTCTCGAGCAAGAACAACAGGGGCATTGGTAGAGTTCTCCCTTGTGTGTTTCCCCGCTTACTCTCATTTGTGTATATCATGGAGCTTGCATAGGGCACAGAAGAGCAGATCCAGAAAATAAGAACTCTAGCAGACCCCTTTCCCACACAGAAAGCTTTAAAAGCCCGTGTCTTGCCTTGTAGAGATCCTACAATAACGTTTAAGAGCCATACCAGGGGCCAGACTGGGCCTCTGGCTGATTACATACTTGACCATAGTCCAGTATAACTAGGAGAATATAAATGGGATGCATAGTTTGTGCTAGTATTAACTGTACGGTTTTGAAATCCAAGGCCTTATGAGATCTTTGGATGTCTCATGGATGACATGTGAGAAGAGATGATTAAGCAACACTCCCTAGTTAAAGATTTCAACAGAGAGCCGTGAAAGTATCACTGATTACCAAAGTTAACAGGAGTTAAAGGATGGCAGAGATTAAACAATCTGGAGAAGGATAAATTCCCTCTAGTTTTGCTATAAGAGCTGCAATGCCCCGTTCAAGCAACTGTCCACCAGAGAGACCTGTTGCATGTATTCATAAATGTCTGAAGTCTGCTCTGTCTGCAAATGGGATGCATGGATATTAGATTGCATTCTTCTGACTTTTTTGAAGTCAGCCGGCTGAGATACATGAGACAGGCATGCATGTTACTACTGAACGTGAGAAGAGCACAATGACCTAGAGACATCTTATATCTAGACTATTCAGGAGTCATTCTACTGACTCATTCAGCATGGCACAGAATACACGTGTGGGTTCAGGTCCTTGAAACCAAAGCTAAACTCCCTCAGCTCTGCCTCATTCTAATACTACAGTGAACTTAGGCACTGGCTAGTGAAAACCCTTTCAGCCACTCACGACTCCCAGAGCAGGTAAGCACAGGTTATGCATGTCAGAGTGCACAGCCCCACCATAAAGCAACCCCCTTACAACCCCCCTCCACAGCCATTCACGTACCCATCCATCTCAGCCTTGCTTCCATAAGCAGGTCAGCAGGATTATTCCCTAGATTACCGATGATGGGAGGCTGAGGTTCAAATGGCAACATCTTGCCACTAATTCTGCAATGAGTTCACTGCAAGGCTGAGACTAGATTTGAAACCAGGGGCTTCCTGGCTCTTAACCACATTAGGCTTTTCATACACTTGAATTTTCCCAGAGAAGCATGTGTGCAAAAGAGAGATAGAGAATTCTAACAGTAGCAAGAAAAATGTGTACTTTGCTTACAGAATTACTACTCTGCATGTGAATATATAACATTTGCAATGTATGTTCCAGAGAGATAAGTTTGTTAGGTCACAACAAAGAACCTTGTGACCCTAGAAACCTTATTGCAGCATACATTTTCATGGACTAGGGCCCAATCAATCTTAATATTCTAGGTGGTATGATTAAAAAATACAGAGTCCCTGTTGCATTTCATGGCCTTTTGGCTCCTACTATTCATGAAAATGGTTCTGTTGATACCTATGGATGTGTATAATATGACAATGAATGGAAAATATGTTGGCTTTAAGGTTGTCACTAGGCTGCTCAAATTAAGCCGCAGCACTTAACAGTAGAGCAATATCAACTTGGCAGATCTCTGCCCTGAGGAGCATAAATACATGCACTCTTAAAAATTACATTTATACGACCAGGCACCCATTTTGTCACTTGCATGCAATAACTTAAAAATCACCTCCAACTGACCAATTCGGGAACACTTTACTAAAGTGAGACCTAATGGGGCTTTCCCTTCACCCCCTTTCATGTTCTCTATCCGCTGCACATATTTATATTTATAAAAAGGTGGCTTATAAAATAACTCATGATTTTTGTGGTTTTATCGCCCCAACCAGAGCACATTGAGAAATACATAGAAGTTGTTCATGTATTGCAGCAATGGTAGCTTATTAAGTATTTGCATATATAGCCACACTGCAATACAAGTTCTCTCAACCTGATATAACGCACAGGCTGGTTGTGTCGATAAAATGGGGCAAATGGTGACAGGAAGCTAAGTGTATGTAGGAGAATCTGAGCTTCTTGGAGTAAGGCAGGGATACAAATGAAACAAATGGGCAAAGTGATGTTAAGTGAATTTTATAATCAAAATAGCTATCAAGATATTAGTGCTTACAGGTATTCTGTAAAATGTAAGACGGAGGGGGCAATTTGAGAGCTGATATTTAGCAAGCAGTGCACTGATCTTTCTGACAAGCAAATATGTAATCTCTCCCATTCCAGTAAGTGTGACCTACACA